CATGAGCCAAGCGCTCCTGGGGAAACCCCTAACAAGGTTGGGGCGGCGTGGCCAGTGGGGTGCCATGGAAGGGGCAAGTGGTGACTAGTGGCCAGAGGGGTGAGCTCTAGCTGTGGGAGCAGAAGCGGCCTGCACCCATGCCTGCCCTCTCTGCAAATGGGCACTGCCCCTCGTGCTTGGAGCTGTGACCCAACCCACGTGCCTGTCGCAGGCCTGCCATCGCCCTGCTCCCTGCTCTTGGTGGTGGGGCTGGGTGGTTGAGGCCTCTCTGCCACTCAGCCCCCCCGGGGCACTGGAAGCATCGATCTGCGCGAAGCCCTCCCTTCCAGCCGTGCCCACCTGTGTGCAACCAGCACACAGACAACAGGAGCCCCCCTGCCTCCTTGCTTTCGCCTTCCCTTCGGCCGGCAGGACATGGCAGGCAAGGGCCGCGCCTTTGGGTGCAGAAGGCTGGGGTCCTCTGGGGCCCCACGTCAGCAAGTGCCACGGGTCAACCTGGGGAGAGCATCTCCACCACAGCAGGTAACACCCTGCTTTTCACAGACATCTGGTGATCCCACAGCTGGGGGTCCCGCCGGCTCGGTGGGAGCGGGCACAGCGGCCGGGCGGGGTTGCCACCGCGGCGGGTGACCGGCGGCCCCCACGTCCAGCTGCGCTGACCTGGACAGCGGCTTGCAGCAAGGCGGGGCCGGGCCTCAGGAGTCTCTAATGAATATTAATGAGCAGAGGAGGGTGAAAAAAATTAATCTGCTTGATCCTCCGATTGGCGCTGTGGTAACGATATGAAATCTAATTATTCGTCCCAATATTTCTAACCCTCAAACTGAGAATGACAGCCTCCCGGTAGGTTTAATGCTTATCACTCGCAGGAGCTGCGTGCTCCCAGCATGATAAAAACGTGCACGGCTTTGCTGACGCTGCAGCTGCAGATCCCCTCGTTCTCCGTGTACCGCCTGCGAGCGAAGGCGGCAGCGCCGCGGTCCCGCCAGGGCCCAGGGCCCAGTGCCTGCGTGGCGGCGGCGGGCAGGCCGGGAGGACGGGGACAGGAGCAGAACGGGCCGGGAGATCTGGGGCCGCCTGACTCGGCCCGTGGCCCCTCGATGCCGGGGCCTGCCCACCCCCCCACTTGAATGGGGGCGGCTGGGGACACGACCTTCCGTGGCCTCTCTCCCAGGCCTGCGCTTTGGTCCTAGGGGTGCGGGGTCGCCACCCAGGGAGGGTCTGACAGGTTTTCTCTCCTTCCGCCCCAACGCCCCCAGTTCCAAGCAGCCCAGGAACAGAAGCGCCTTTCTCTGGTGCCTGAAGGCATTGGGCCGAGGCAGGCTCTCTTCCCGGCCGACGCTGTGCTGTCCGTGCGCAGGGACGTGGGGTGTAAGCCTGGGAGGGGCTATGTGTTGCTCCCCCGCCCGGCCTGTGCTGCCGGCCACCTTCCCTCCACAAGCGCCCCCGGGTCCCATCTGGGTCCAGCTCACCCTGGACAGGCCGTGTCTGGGTTCAGGAAGAAGCCTCTCCACCCGCCCAGCCTGCAGCCCCTTGGGGTCGTGCCTGTTCCTACTGGCTCCAGGATGGCCCCACCTGGCCCTGAGATAATGGGCGGCCACTTGAAGTTTTCTGGGTGCATCTGAGACCACTCCTTGTTTCCCCCAACAAAGAGGTCAGTGTCTGGATTCTGTGCCTGCCGATAACCATCAGAAACTCTATCTCTGCCCCATCCGCTGTGACTTTATCTGAGGCTGATCCCAAACCTTGCTAGCCATCTCATGAAACAGCATCAGGGGAAAGGGAGATAGGGGCCCCATTCGGGCAGGGGAAGGGGGTGGCCCAGCCCAGTGAGCCAGACCGCCCTGCAGAAGGTCAGTGGGGCTGCCCAAGCCTCCTCCGGGCCACTGTGGGGCAGGCTCATGGGAGGTCAGGGCTGGGGCAGGGCCCCCACCCACCTCCTTCAGCTCATCCTGAGAAGTCATGTCCCTGTCCTGCCCACCCTCCCAGAGGCAACTGCCTTTCTGTCCTCGGCTCTTCCTCTCCCCCAGACCCTGCAAAGAACCTCCTTCACAGATGAGGATGGAGGCCCACAGAACAGAGTGATGCCCAGGGCCACAGGAGGTGGCTGTGCGTACACAGGACTAGAACTGGGGTCTGCATGATCTTGGCTTCCTTCCATCCACTCATCCATCCATCTACCACCCATTCATCCATCCACCCACCCATCCACCTATCCATCCATCCATCCATCCACCCACCCACCGATCCATCCATCCATCCACCATCCATTCACCGCTCCACCACTTACCCATCCACCCATCCATCTACTCATCCATCCATCCACCATCTATCCATCCACCTACCATCATCTACCATCCATCTATCCATCCACCTACCATCCATCTACGCATCTACCATCCATCCATCCTCCCTCCCTTCCTCCATCTACCATCCATTCACCCCTCTACCACCTACCCATCCACCCATCCATCCACCTACCACCCATCCATCTACCATCCATTCATCCATCATCTACCATCCATCCATCCACCTACCACCCATCCATCCATCCCTCCCTCCTTCCATCCATCCACCCACCATCCATTCACCCGTCCACCACCTACCATCCATCCTTCTATCCATCCACCAATCATCCATCCACCATCTACCATCTATCCATCCATCCATCCTCCCTCCCTTCCTCCACCTACCATCCACTCACTCCTCTACCACCTACCCATCCACCCATCTACTCATCCATCCATCCTTCTACTCATCCATCCACCCATCCATCCACCCATCCATCCATTCATTTGCCCCTCCACCCACCTGTCCTTACCTTCCTGCCTCCACCCATCCATCTGCCCCTCCACCCACCTATCCTTACCTTCCTGCCTCCACCCATCCATCTGTTCATTTGTTGAACAGTCCCCCAGAGCCTGGTGTGGGGAGACCATGAACAGAACATGCTGTCCTGATCTCCCAGTGTGGATGCTGGAGTGGGGAGGCTGACAAGAAACAACCAATGGAGGCAGAACGTTCTAGAGACACAGGCTGAGAAGAGCATGAAATGTGGTGGGGGTGAGGTGGGGAGCTGTGTGGACAGCAGGGATGTGGGCCAAGTGGCCCCCAGCCCTCTTCCTCGGGTGGCCCTTGGGCTCAGGGAGGGAACCAGCTGTAAAGGTGGGTCTGGTGCCCATGGCTGCCTTGGCCCCAGTGTGGCGGAAGGTGTTCCAGGGTCCCTGAGACCAGGCGGTTCCTCCTCCTGGACCTCCAGGAGGCCGGTCTGAGTTGACCCTTTGCACCCACAGCGTCTCCCAGACCCTGCTCCTAAAACTGCAGGCGGAGAGGCTGAGGTGTGGGGAGGAAGGGAGTCAGAGACCCAGAAAGGCCAGTGGCAGGCCTCCTGTCCAGAGGACGTCCACCTCAGAGTGCCCCACACCGCCTTCCTCACCACCCTGGTGCTCCAGCCAAGCCCACACCTGACCATCTCCTCAGGGGCTGCCCCGTGGAGGCTCAGGGGCCAACCTGGGCTGGACCCTGGCTCTGCTGCTTGCTAGCTCTGTGGAGCAGGCTGAATGTACCCCCAAAGACATGTCCACCCAGAGCCTGTGGACACAGCCTTATTTGGAAAAAGGTCTCAGCAGATGTGATTAAATTAGGGACAATCCAGATGACATCCTTCTAGATTATCCAGTGTCCTAAATCCAGTACCGAGTGTCCTTATAAGAGCAAAGAGGCAGAGGTGGGTGGCCCTGCTGGGAGGCTGGGCTCTGCTGGGCAATGACCCCTGGTGCCAGCCTCAAGGCTTCTTGCACAAGGGCTGCTCAGAGCCCGTGGGGCCCTGAGGGCCCTGGCCCCACTGCCATCTCCAGCTGAGGGATGGGGGAGGTCCCTTTAAGCCGATCCCTGCATGAAGATGCACGACAGGGCAGAGCTCAGCTGGTCTCATTCCAACCACTCTGGAAGGGGCTTCTCCCCAGTGGACCCGCTGTCCTCCTGGGCAGCCACGGCCCCCGCTGCCAGGTCTCACTGATGTCATGGTGGTCTCATGGCTATAGTGGGTAAGCCCTGGGGGGGACTACTGGACAGATGGGTCGAGCCACTGTGGGCCAGGCTTGGCATAAGAGTTCGCTCATTCATTCGTTCGCTCATCTGCTCATTCATCTATCCACCCACCCACCTATCGATCCATCTATCCATCCATCCATCCATCTGTCCATTGATCCATCCATCTACCCGTCCATCCACCCGTATGTCCGTCCGTCCGTCCATCCACCCACCCGTCCATCCACCCATCCGCCATCCATTCATTTATCCATCCACCCATTCACCATCCATTTATCCATCCATCCATCTACCCGTCCATTCATCCATCCATCCATCCACCCGTCCGTCCATCTATCCACCCGTTCACCCATCCATCCATATATACATATGTTCGTTGGTCCATCCATCCATCCATCCACCCACCCATCCACCCAACCATTCTGAACATTTTTTTTGGTATATGACTACAAATTTTAGAGCTGGCTGGGTTTCCAAACCCTGGGAAGTGGAAGCCACAGCTGGATCAGGGAGGGACCTGCCCAAGGTCACACAGCATGTTGGTGCAGGAACCACTCTCGACCCGACCCCTGCCAGGCTCTGTGCACTTGCTGTGTATTTCCTGGGGCTCCCACCCCCAAAAGTCTCGTGTGTATGTGTGTGTGTGTGGGAGGACTGTGAGGGGAGCCCTGCGTTCCCCCTCCCATCTGCAAGTGGCCCAGGGGCTAAGGAAACCAGCAGGGAAGGGTTGCCACACTCTATCAGAGCCCCTCTCTCTCCTTCCTCTCCAAACAGCTAAGACAAACCGCCTGGCGGCTGATAGCACGATCTGGGGTGGGAGGTGCATGGGGGAGAGAACTGGGACCCATCAGCAGAGCTCGATAAGGGGCTCGCTGAAATGTTAGCAAAAATATTTAGACAATAAATGAAGTATCGGAAAGGCGCGCGTATCTTTAAGAAATCAATCATCGTGTACGGTGTGTCTGGACACTCGGCGCCAAGGCGCAGATAGCGCCTGCTGGGGAGATAAGGGTTAATCAAGGATTTAATTCTGTAGGAGATAAAGCTGCAGGGAAGAGCCCGAGAGGCTCCTTCCTCCCTCAGCTCCTCGGCAAGAGCCTCAAAGGCCACTGGCTTCCCTGGCGCTGGTCCCTCTCTCCCCGTGGACATTATCGCTCTGCCTGGAGAGCGTCTCCAACCTCGTGCCAAGTCTCCCCAGGCTGACCTGCGCCCCGGGCCCAAGGAGGACAAAACCCTCAGAGAGGAGGGCGGGGCGGGGACGTGGCCAGGACTCTGGGGCCAGCTCAGCCCTGTCCTTACAGAGCCCGCAGGGGTCTCAGCTTGAGCAGACGTGGGTTGCAATTCTCCCTCTGCTATTTGATCCTGGTGAGTTTACCAAGTCACTTAACTTGCTGGAGACTCAGTTTCCTCATGTGTAAAATGGGGAGCATGCCTCACAATGGTGTGGGCGGGGAAGACCAGGGCCCAGGCGTAAGGATGGGCGTACCTCGGTGTGTGCAGTGAGCGACACCTGTCTGTCCTGGAGGGACGGACTGTCTCCAGAGTGGGGGAGCAGAGGAGAGAGGTGCAGGCCACACGCAGCTGCACCCCTTTGTCTTTTCACCGCTTATGAGAATTCGGAGCCAGGGAGCTCCCAGCCCACACACTCCTCCTTCCAGCCATGAACTGCCCCTCAACAGCCCACCCTTTGAAAAGAGAACTGCTGCTTGCATGCCTCCAGTGATGGGGAGCTCATTGCCTCAAGAGACTGCCCTGAACACTAGGGCCTCCATTCCCGCAGTGGAGCCAAAGTCTGCCTTGCGGTTGCCTCTGTTTTCTCCCTGCTTGGGCCATGGGACAAGAGGGTCAGCCGTTCCTGTAGGGTGGTGGTAAGCTGCCCTGGGAGGTGGGTGTGCCATCAGCTGCCCCACTTGGCAGACCGGCGACAGCTCTGTCCGCCCACCCTCTCCTCTGCAGGGACGCTGGAGGGTCTGCAGGCTCAGGCCCCAGGGACCCTTCAGGGCCTCCCTGTGTCCCCACCGAGGACCCACAGGCTCAGGAAGCAGACGCTCAAGGAGCTCAGGAGCCTGCCTGGGAGCATAATTGCCATGAGGGAGGAGGCCACGGGACCGGGACCCTGCGCCACGGGGATGGCCTGGTCATGGGCTGGGAGCCCTCGGTCCTGGGCCAGCCTCCCGCTGAGCGGCCGAGGCCTGCACGTGCTCCCCTGAGCCTGGGCGCTCCGCTGTGATGAGCAGTGTGGATGGCCCAGGGGGCCTCAGCCGGGCTGCACGTTTAGACCCTGGGAGACTGCCCGGATCTCTGGAGGCCTAGGCCCCAGCCCAGAGATTCTGACTCGGGTGGGTGCTGTGAATGGCGGTCTGAGGGTCTGCAGCTGGGGACTCCTCCTGCAGCTCCCTACCAGCCCTGTGGACACTGTGCAGCCCGAGTTCCTGCACCCTGGTTTCTGTGGCTGAGAAATGGGGGCTCTGTCAGGCTGGAGCCGGATGGGGCTGTCAGGGCAGCATGGGGCCTCTAGGTGTGGGCGGACCCTCCCCTGCAGCCTGGCCACCGCCTGCTGACCACACGGAGGCTGACCACAGGCCCACACCTGGGGCCTGCAGACCAGGAGGCCCAGCACTGCGGGGCACCCACCAGCCAGGGTGCACCTGGATCAAGTCGCACCTGAATGCAAAACCGGGAATCAAAAAGGGCCCAGGCCTTGGCCGTGCCTGCACGTCTCGGGTGCCTGAGCCCGGGCTTGAGGGGACCCACTCCGGGTGCCTCCTGGCCTTTCAAGCGAGTGGCAGCAGGACTAGGAGAGGTTTCTTGAATACGCGTCACGGTCAGGTCCCTCCTGGTTCCGGTCCTACCCCATGCTGCCCATTCAGCGGCCCGGTTTCCCATACATCAGGCCCTTTCTTCCCCAAAATGTATTTTCAAAGGAGCCTTTGTACCGTGCGAGAGGACGCAGACCGACTTGCCGTCAACAGAAGGCAGTCCACAAGGAACCCCGAAGCGAGTGACCCCGTGGCGGCGGCGACTAGCGGGAGGGCGCTGCCCGGGTGGGTTTCCTACGACACAGGCAGGCCAGAAGTGCTGCGGAGGCGAAGACCCTGCGGCACCGGAAGGACCCATAGGGACGAAGTGAACCCCAGCCTCTGCTGCAGCGGTCCCTCAGCTCCCGGAAAACCTCCTCGCTTGCCCCCGTTCACGAACCAGGTCCAGCCCCCCACCTCACACACCCATCTCTTTCTCTGTCTTGCCAGCTTCTACTCATCCAGTAAGGGCCTCCTCCGGAAAGCCCTTCCCATGTCACCTCCTCCAGGAAGCCTCCCTTGTGCTCCCAGGCAGTCAAGTCCTTCCCGCCGTCCTGGTCCCAACACCTCAGGGCCCCCTCTCCCGACACACTGCACGCGGAGGGGCAGGCGCTCCTGGGCGGGAGCATAAGCCGGCTTGGCTCCAGGGGCGGAGGGGGTCTGTGCCCTGGGCCGGCCTGCGCCCTGGCTGCGGCCCTGCGGCGGGTGGGTGGGCTGCCGGGGGTGGGGCTCCTTACCGGTTCCACCTGCCCAGGGGACGAGGCTCTGCTCTGGACGTCCCCGCGGAACGGGCCCCAGGACAGGCCCTCGGTGAGGCTGCGCCGAGCCCGCACGCACCTCTGCCTGTCCCGCAGCAGCAGCTCCAGCTCGTCTGTGGGGAGAAACAGCGGGGATGTGAGGCGTGCCCCCTGGCGGCGGCCACCCAGCCCCAGCTGCCCAGCTCGGCAGTCCTGTCCCCACCAGGGGTGGGGGTGCCCTGGGGGCCTGGGTTATGGGGACGGCGGCCGGTGTGTGGTTCCAGGAGCTGGGCCAGCCCCTGCAGCAAGCCCTTGTCTGGGGGACAGCAGGGACAGGACGGTGTGTCTGCGGCTGGATTTGAGCCGGTGGGACCACGGCTGCTCCGTGAGGACACATGTCCCCTGTAGCACCTGCCCGTGCCCAGGATGCACGCATGGAGCTGGGTCATCCCCGCAGCTTACGTTAGGGGGGGCACACGGTGGAGGACGAGGACGTCGACGAGGACGCCGTCCTGGCCTCCGCACAGTCCTCCCAGCCCCTCCCCACCGGCCTGAGCCCCCCACATCCACACAGCAAGCCTGTGGTGGAGGTTGTGGAAATGCTGGGCCCTGATGTCCCCATATCTAAGACTTCCCGCCTCCTTGGGCTGCACGAGGCTTGAATGCATTAATCCACCAACATGGTTAGCACAGCTCAGAGGGGAAACCAAGTCAAAGAGCCACGCACCTCCCCAAGGCCCTTGGCGAAGCCAGAATCTGCCCCTGGGTGGTCCTGACGTTGGCTCCGTTCACTCCCTGCAGATCGGCAGGACGGGGACTGTCCCCAGAATGCTGCTGCCCCCACCCACCCTCCCAGGACCGCTGCTCACTTTCTGGAAAGGTCTGGGCCCTGAGTCTTCCTGCCGCTCTGCATAGCCTCTCCTAGCTCAGGGTGTAAGATGCTCAGGTGCTGCGGCCACCTGCGCCATGGTGGGGGGCGGGGCTGCAAACTCTCCAGGCGCCGACAGCTCCCGTGGCTCAGGTGGTGGCCCCCGTGGCACGTGTTGGAGGGCCACCACAGGGTGTGGTCGCATTTCTACAGACAGACGGGCTTCTGCTGTGAGTCCCTGAGACAGTCATTCTCCCCAGGGCGGGACATGGGGTCGGACAGGGTCTGCATTCAGGCTCCTGGGTTCAGCCCAGCCTCACTGCATGGTCCACAGGACCTTCTACAGTGGGCTGAATGATGGCGCCCAGAAGATACCTCCACCTAGAACTTGTGAATGTGCACTTATTTGGAAAAAGGGTCTTTGCAGATGTAATCAAGTTAGAAACCCGAGAGGAGACCATCCTGGATCATCTGGTGGGACCCTAAATCCAATGACAGATGTCCTTATAAAAGACACACAGAAGAGACAGGGGAGGCGGCCACGCGAAGACAGGCAGAGACCAGAGTGACGGGGTCAGGAGGAAGCCACACTGTAGCCCCTGGAGCTGGGGGAGACAGGAAGGACCCTCCCCCCAGAGCCTCCAGAGGGAGCGTGGCCCAGCACTTGGAGAAAACAGATTTCTGATGTGTTAAGGCCCCAAGGTTGTGTGTGTTTGTCGGGGCCACCCTGGGAGATTCACACCGGGCACATCACCTGCCCTGCCTGAGCCTCAGTGTCCTCGTGGGACAAGGGGACGCGGTGGTCACGCCCTCAGAGGGCGGTCCCTTCCCTGATCCCACGCCCTCTGCCCAGGAAGGCTGGGCCACCTTGTACCTTGGGTGCCATCCGGGCTGCCTGGGCCCACAGAGGCCTCACGTGGCCTGCCCTGGTCCCCAAGCAAGCGCTGTGGCGGCAGCCCCACTTCCTGGAGCCCCGATCGGGCAGGCTGTGGCCTTAATGGGCCCGATTATCAGATAACTGCCGGCCTAATGGCAGAGATAAGGTGTAAATACGCCAGGAGGCCCAGCTAAAACGTTCTAACTGGGTCCTTGTCTTCCCAGGGGCAGATAAGATGGCAGGGGACCAGGTCGAGGCTGAGGAGGCCGGCGCCCCTTTATCAGCCCCCCAGAGAGGGGGGCAGAGACTGGCTCTGTCACTTTGCAGCTCGCCCATGAGGGGCCATGTCCCTTGCCAGCCCACCCAGGACACCTGGGCCCCAGCCCAGGGTGCTGCCCACGGGCCACCCCCTCCCTGGCCCCGCAGGTCCCATCCTCAGGGATGGGAGTGTGACCCAGCCGGCACCGTCACCCACCCCTGCTCCGGTGGCCTGATGAAGTCGGCCCTCTCTTTACGCCCCCGGTACAGGTGAGAACACTGAGGACTCAAGAGGTCATGTAGCTGGCAGTGGGATGTCAGGGTCTGAACCCAGGCCCCCTGGCTCCAGATGCTGACCCAGGGCCCTGGCTGTATGTGGGTCTCTGGTTCCCTGCCTGGCTGGCCCTCAGGGGACGGGCATACATGAGGGAGGGGAGGAGGAGGAGGAGAAGACTGTCTAAAGGCAAGCTTGCTGCGACTCATTTGTCCATCCACCCGTCTGCCAAGCCATCCGAGGCTGGTGGGGAGCTCACGATGGACTGAGCCTGTTCACCTCCCCCCCTGACTCCCCAGCTCATGGAGGGAGGTCAAGGGAGAACTGTCCAGCGTCCTCATGCTGTGGCCTGCCCCTCTGCGGGCAACCAGAAACCTCAAAGCAATCCGGGGTCGGCTTGCACTTGGGCCTCTGAACAAGGATGGCCACACACCTCTCTGGACTGCATTTCTCCTGCTGGGACCACAGACGAGACAGGGAAGGTGACCGGGAGCCCCTCCATTTCCACCTCGTTCCCCATCAGCATCCAGAGCACGTGGAAGGAGCCCATCGTGGCCTCGTCGGGCACAGAGCCCCCCTTAGGACATGACACCTTCCACCTGAGGCTGGTGGCCCACCTTCCCATGGGAGGAGCAACTGGGAATTCAGTGCGTGGGGGGCCGGCCCGGGGGTCCCTGAGAGTAGAGGAGGAGTGGGGGCAGCCCTGGGCTGTCTCAGGGCCCCGGCCTCGTGGTGATGGAGGGAAGGAGCTGAGCCAGTGTGCCTCCCCGTTCCGCCCACATGGGCACCCACAGGCAAACAGCCATGCTCCCTAATCGGAGCCCCAGGGCCGGCGGGCCGAGCCTGCCAGATAACAGCATGGCTGGTATTTCCCACGGCAGCCACTCCATCTTCTGGGTATCATGCATTGCCAGAGGGAGGGCTGGCTCCCGATAAAGGCTGCCATTCTGCAAGCCTGAGGGCAGAACCCACCACTCGGGCCTGGGAGAGGTGAGGAGGCCGGGGAGCCGAGGAACTTGGGTTAGGGACAGGGCAATGCTCACCACGAAAACCCACCTTTCTGCTTCAGGGAGGCCGGCTCCGAAGGGCTGTGCATTAGGAAGGGCTATGGCAGGTACCTGGCTGGGGGAGGGGAACATGGCTGGATCTCAGCCCCAGCTCACCCAGAGCCCTTGCTACAGTGCACAACCTGGGCAACTGTACACGGTGGCCCTGGTGATGTTCAACATCCATCTACTCAGATAAGCTATTTCTAGCAAACAGTTCCTGTCCAACCTCTTGCACAGCGGAAACAGGGTCAAGCGGTATTAGAGCCTAGTTAGCACCTGCCAGAGACCCTCTCCTAACCAGAAGCAAAATTGCATCAGCAAAGTGGGGTGGGTGGGGCCACCCACTCCTGGCAGGCTGGGAGCCTCATAAGGGTTCAGCTCAAGGCCAAGAATGAAATAAACGTATAGATGAGTGAGGGCAAGGGGCGAAGGGGTGGGAGACGCGGAGCTGGCAGGCGGGGACTGACAGGCAGGAAGACACAGTTATTTTTAAACAGCCTCTATAATAGCCAGAGGACCCGTGGCGGCCGAAGAGACAGTTCCCAACCACACACACAGGAAACCTGGGGCCATGAGCACCCAAGCCACGCTGCAGGCTCTGTCTCTGGACTCGGGGCTCTATGCTCACTCAGTCACAAAACCGCGTGTGGGCACCTGGCACAGGGATGAGGGAGGCATAGCCTCTGCCCTCTGTGTCTCCCAGGAAACATGGGTGGTGGCAGCTGGGAGGGTGGGCCAGGTGGGGTGGGCTTCCAGGTGGAGGTGTCCTTCTCCCGGGCAGCCTCCTGTGAGCCGGCTACTTTCTCTTCCCAGCTCCAGCCCAGTCCTGACCTCCACCCCCGTAGTGAGCTATGGGGTGATGCCACCTGCCCGGAGAACGTATGATCCCAACCCGCTTCCTGGCCCCATTCATGGAGCCTTGGCCACGCATCTGGACAGTTTGCAGGGATCCCTCCCTGCCCCACTGAGGTTCTCCCCGTGTACAGAGGAGGGCATCGAGGCTCAGAGAGGTTAAGCTACTGGCTCAAGACCCACGACGGGGAGGTGAGATGTGAACCAGAGCCCCAGCCACGCTCATGGCCAGGTCCCCGACGCCCTTTCCTGGGCTGATGCAGAAGGCGGCAGAGCGACGGGGATGCCGCTGGAAGGGAGGTGGGCGCGCGTGGCAGGCTGACTCCTGCTGTCCTCAGTTTCCCCTTCTGTACGGGTCTCCTCGGGGAGGGGGCAGGCCCCCATGGGGGTCAGGCTATCACTGCAGACACCGCATCAGGGCAAGGACTAATTTATTCCGGCAAACAACCCCACACACACATCATTTCCAGAACAAACACGCCGCAGCGGGATTCAATTTCGCCCCCCAAGCATCTGTGAGGAACCGGACGAGAGAATTCAGCGCTTGCATATTTATATGATTTGAATGTCTGTTTGGGTCTCAAAGCCCTCTGACGGCGTCCCAAGGGGACAAAGGAGGCAGGGCTGAGTGTTGCCCCTTCTGGGGTCCCGACAGAGGGGGTGGCCGGGTGAGAGACCTGGGGTCTGGAATCAGCAGGCCACAGCCGGGTGCCGCCTCTGTCCAGCGCCCGCTGGCCTCAGTTTACCTGCTGGGCCGGTAGGTCTGAGGGTAAAGGCGAGCGGGTCAGTTTGAGAGGCCAGCACTGCTCTTCCTCCCTGGGCTGTCCCGGGTCGCGGGGCCCAGCCCAGGGTGGCCGCTGAGCCACGGCCCCCGGCCCAGCTCTCCCTCATGCCCTGCAGAGCCCTCGGGGCCACAACCTCCACGGTGCGCAGTGGGCCAGTGAGGCGGCGGCTCT